TATGGGGGGGGGGCGTGTTTGGGAAGATGCTGCCCTGGGTGCGAATCCAGCTGTCTCTTCCCAGTTGAACCGCCCCGGGCTAGTTAGTGGCCCTGGCTAGGCCTCTAGGTCTCGGCGTCTTCCTCAGCGTCCTGGGCGTTAGAATCACCTCTCTGACCATTAGTTTCGCGCGTTGACCGTGGCACTGACGTTTGCTACACGTGCCAGCGGGTATTGTTGTTATTTATAACCGGCACTGAGCACTTACTATGCGCCAGGCGCTGCTAAGCACTCTGAATTCATGAGCTGGTTTTTTCCTTCTCACAGCTCTCTGAGGGAGGCTCTATTATTCCCATTTTACAGATAAGTACATTTACAGACAGAGCCAGGGAGGGAGGCCCCCTTCCCCCACTGCTTTAGGCCCTCTGCCTGCTTCCCCTCGCCCCACCCTGACGGCGGGACCCGGGAGAGGCTGTGAAACAGGGCACTAAAGCCCAGGAGGGGCACGGTTACAGCAGGCCTAGTGCGGGCTTCGGAGTCGCCACCGACGCAGGGCCAGGGCGAAAGCGGCTGCCACAAAGGCATCCATCATCTTGGGACAGGAAATCGCATTTTCTGAGTCTGGTTCCGAAGCGAGGCCAGGTAGAAACACGTCCCTTCCACGTACCCGGCGCTTTACCTCTGCTAGGAGCCTGGGGGCAGGAGGAGGGCCCGCTCCTCCACCTCGAAGAAAGCGGGGTTTAGGACGGCCTGGGGTTCGGCCCCTCGCGGGGCCTGGCCCAGGGCGCAGCGCTCCGCGCCGGGGTTCTTCCAGCGGGGACCAGCGCCTGGGCTGAGTGCCAGGGCGCCCGGGCTGGGGGTGGGGTGAAGGCTGGGAACAGACCCCGCATCCCCGACGGCGGGACGCGCCGCCGCGCAGAGCTGCGTCCGCCGGCGGAGTCCCTGAGCGCTCACGGCCTCGCCTGTGAGGGCGGGACCTCGGAGTCCAGCTGCCGCCCGCCGCCTAGGAGCTGGACGCACCGTGGCCTTGGGACCCGGGCGCTTTCCTCGGTGCTGCGGAGGCAGGTGCTTCCCGCCCAGATCTCTGTGGCCAAAAACATGAACGTCTTCGTGACCGACTTCGCCTCGCCAAGTCACTGGACATAGCCCCCCCCCCC